CTTCATTTCAGTTTATTTTATACAACATTTCCTTTTTTTTGCATTTCCATAATCGGAATATATTAATTTACACATATATATTTAAACGATGGGTCAAATGATGGGTCAAACTATAAAAAAGTGATGGGTCAAGTTCTCCTATATATAAAGTGATGGGTCAAGTTTTCCTATATATATATATATATATATATATATAAATATATACACAGCTAATAATGATAGCATTCACTTACTGTTACTGCTTGCTGCAGAAAAGCATGTTGTGCTGTGCAATATTTTGCATGTTAGATTAAAGATTAAAATGTTTTATCATATGCAATCAGTGAATTTCTTCTGATTAAAAAAGGATGAAACTATAAAAAATACTAGAGCGTATAAGTTTAGTATGAAAAGATTTGGTTTAGGATTTTTAAAAATGTAAAAGAAATGGATGAAATGCAAATGTTACATTGGTGTGATAAACAAATGCTATCTATCCTTATCATAACACTTCATCACATGCAATCAGTGAATTTTTTTTTATCAAAAAAGGATAAGACTACATAAAAACCCAGCTAACTAGCAGTTAATAAAATCAATTAGTAGAAAATGAATTAGAACAAAAACTTGAATATTGAATAATATACGAGTGTTAATTAGTCTATGCTATTAATTAGTTAGAGTCTATGCTATTAATTCCTTAACAATGATTGGATTTCGATAAGATAAAGAGATGGAAAGAAAGTAATTTCATACATATGTATCAGCTAAAAAAGATTTATTCGATATTATACTTGCTCGATATCATCAAAATAATCAAATTTAAATCTCATTGAATTCTAAGTTTATCATTTATCATTTATCATGCTAAAATCCTTCTCCATATTCTACACTAATATCATGTAATTTAAGAAATGGAAAAAAAGAAATTGTGAATATAAAAGGAATTAAAATTAGATATCATTCAATGAATAATGATTTTCGACACTCCAAATGGTTTTGAATGGGAATAATGGAGAAGTAGTAATTATAATGATTATAAATAGAAGAGAGGAAGAATTGCTTCACCAATTAATATCTAAGAATTTATGACCAATATAATGAGATTTAAAAATGCGATGCGAAACATAACGCAAAATGTTAGTGGAACAAATTCATCTTTCTCATTTCATCATCTCTTATCACTACTTCTCTCCTCGCTGTTAATTTTAAAAAAAGGAAGAAAGAGATTTTAACATTTCAAAATTTTAGTCAATGAAAAACATTGTTAAATCAAACAATGGAAATGATCCGTTTAACTGTCATAAAATTATTTTCACCGGATCACACATTGCTATAAAATCATGTGCAAAAAGAGTTAGCCATCTATCTTTCTTCTGATAATTCCATAATTGCTAATTAAGGCTACTTAACTTCTGCAAAACTCACTCGAATAATATTCCCTTATCACCTTCTATAAAATTCAAAGATTCCAATTTGTATTCCATAATCTCAGTTGATTTTTCTAATAGTGTAATCGAAAACTTTGTAATGCTTCTACGATTCATGCCAGTAGTTAAATTGCATTCAATGAGCGGAAAAGTAAAATTTCAAACAGTAACACTTTATCTACTTCTCCTTCTCCGCTCCTCCACTCAATGTTTCTTACCAACCAATAATCAATTAATTATATACTGCAAAATAAATCTCGAGCAAACTTATCTTATAATTTTATAAAATTGAAAATAATTTCCCATCCATATCAAATTATACCAATATTTCACTGCAAATATATTGATTGAGATTTAAGATTATCTTGCAAAAATTCTCAAAATCCCAAATATATTCATATATTTATATTCTTCAAAAAATTTAACACAACAAAATGATTGAATTATTAAATTTAAAAATGAATTAAATATAAACAATATAGTGAAATTTTTCTTCTTTAATTTCAGAAACTCTAATTTCCCTTCAAAATTAAAATCTCGGAATTTCAAAATCTTTTTGATATTGATATTTCAATATTTACCTATTTTATTTTCTCATAGAACTATGAGAAGTAGATTGAATGCATACATGCTTAAATGCTTTAAACAAATTAGTAACTGAAAATATATATATATCATGATAGCAAATATTTGATCAATTGATAGTCACATGATCCTATTTCAAGTATTCAACTAATATAAAACTAACCAATTGAATAACATCGAATGTGCATTTGCTTATTTGTATGAATATTAGATATTATTTATCTGCATTTTCCCCTTTCTCTCTCTCTCTCTCTCTTTCACAGAAATCATTATAAAATATATCAAATAATCAAATTCAAAACTGTTTCCTGTGAACATTTAAATTTCAAAAGGGAATTTCAATCCAAATAACACATTTCAAGGTTTGTACCATAGTTTCATCATATTTCTTGTCCGATAGATTTCTAATGAAAGCTACGACATTACCATTATTAAAAGCATATGATGAGAGATAGGCAGTAACCGCATAACCTTCCAATGTTCACTGCCCCCTTTTGATATAGCACTTCAACTACGACTCATCATATCGCCACATTATTTTATCTATTCTTTCTTTCTCTTCCCAAATCTTTCTCTATTCTTTTTCCAATGTCTATTTTCTCCTTCAAATTGCTCTTTTGATGATCTCTGATCCCTTATATGCTCTCTTTCCTCTCTCTCTCTCTCTCTCTCTCTCTCTCTCTCTCCAAGGTTAACGGCATTTTTTTTGCTCCCATTAATAATAAAATATATTTGTAAACATTTATCGTTTCACAGCATTCATAGCAAAGGAGATAGGAAAATTCCGCTTCCTGCAAGCGCCGCCGAATCAAATATAACACTCTATTCCATTCATTTAGTTGACGGATCATTTAGCTGACGGAATGATTTTGTTTCATTTAATTCGTTTCATCTCTTAAGATTTACTATTTCAATATCATTATCATTCATAGATGATACGATGATAACAAATCATATGCTATAATACTGATAAGAAAGTAAAAATGATGTGCTAATAAATAACCGTTTCTTCATCGGAATAGTGTCAAAGTTCCATTTGGTAATGTAACGTTAATGAATGAGAGAAGATTACTAGCTTATCCTATTCATATAATCAATCTTCTATGAAAATTGTTTTATTTTTCAATAGCATAGTTACTACCTTCCTCTATTTCTCACTCCTCTTTACTAATACCATTTTATCCATATAATATAATAATACAATACAATGGTGATGATGAATAGAGGAAATTTTGAAATTTATATATTCATCTCTATGGTGATGATGATGATAGAGGAAATTTCGAAATTTATATATTTCACCTCTAATGCTCTCCCTTAACAAAGAGAATGTCTATTGAAATGTGGTAAAGAAAATTGACTGTCTTTCTTATCGACTGAAATTATGTACTAATTTTCCATTAACAAATAATAACTCGACAACTATCCACCACCAATCATTTCATTAAAACGATAATGACTGCACGATATGAATGTGAATCAATAATGTTCTCCAATAATATTCAGTCTAAAATATGACGTAAATAGTCACTATAATAAGAGGGAATAGAAAGAATGATCGCGGATACATTTTATTATTAATTACTATTAATTTACTCCCTTCTTCCTTATTGTTTTAATCCTTTTATTTTTTTACCTCTAAAGCAATTGTAACAAATGTAGCTAATCTGCTAACAATATGGTTTAATAATCAGACATTTATTATTATTATTATTATCATGACTGATATTATTTATCCTACGACTAATAATACTACTACAACTACTCTTATCACTTCTTATCATTATGACTAATAATAACTATTATTAATTATATTGCACATATTGCTGATATATTGCATATATTCTCCTCTCTCCCTTTTAATAAAGCTAATTAATAATGAACAATAGAAGTGCAAGAAATGAGAAAGACTTCAAAGTTTTCTTCACAAAAGCGTTGCATAAAAGTTTCAGAAAAAATAGCAGATGGAAATATAATTTGCAGCTAAAACAAATTTAAAGATTGAAATCAATAAATACAAATATATCTTCTTTCTATGACTACTTATTACTTACCTTCGAATCCCCCTCCTCCTGTTGCAGAAAATTAAATTAATTTGTTTGATCTATACGACTATTTCATTTATTGCAAACCATTCCATTAGTTACTCACTTATTATGCTATGTATGTAAGAAGAAAAAAGAACTATTTCACATGCTGAAGATATTATTAATAATATTTAGTGGAATCTTAATTATTTATCATTCCTCATTAAACAGTAACTTTGACAGATCACTCATGATTACTAATATCGCTTAAATTGAATTTTCTACCTTGTAAGAACATCCCACCAAATGTATGAAAATATTTGATGAATGAAAAGATATTCATGAATTATCAGAATATAAACTTCAACAATAAAATGCTTATAATATATAGCTTATAAAATTTTTTATTAACAATCATTTTTTATTATCCACTCATTCTACATGTGATAGAAAAATAATATAGAAAAGCACATCTGCTTATCTGTTTATGCACGATTGGATAATGTTTAGTTAAGCTTATATTGGAGACAAGCATTTGACATGTATACATAAAGTATTTCTTGAGGGAAATGAAATACATTAACTACGAACCTGAAATGAAAAACAATTCTCTTTCACTTATTTTACCGCGCTTCTATTTGAAACATCCGAAACGGACAGGTTTCAAATTCTTCACGTTAAGAAGGTGAAAATGCATTGCGCTCAGTTTGTGTTTATGTATATTCAATTTTTTAAATTTATTCCTTCATCTATTCTATCCTTTCCTTCTCCTTCCATTACTTTGTATTTTCTTCCTCTCTATTTTGCGAAATATTTAATCTATTCCTTCATTCCTAAATGTATCAGATCTTAAAAATTATCAAGAGACTATAAAACAGTGAGAAACTGATATCAAATATTTCAATGATATATATATATATATATATATATATATGCACATAGATAATTTAAAATTAGCTATTCCTTTGAAAAACTAAAATCAAACCGACCTATCTGTTTCGAATTCACTAGCTAGAGGTGGTGAGCTGGTCAGATTTGGTGGACTGCTTCCCATTATATCCGTTGAAGCTGCTCTGTTCAAATCTGCAAAAAATTTTTTCAGTAAAGAAAAACAAATCGAAAAAAAGCGAGAGAGAATAGAAGAAGTAAGAGAAAAATGTTGTTAAGCTAAAAATGATAGATTAATTAAAAAATAGTTACTAAAATAAAGAAAATTAATATTCTCTTCCAAATATCATGCCCTCTCTCAATTAATACCAAAAATACTATTACCAAAAATTTTGGGAAGATGTTGCCCTAATTAATTGCTGTAATATATGTTAATTTTTAGGCAAGCAATTAGAACAAAGCATAATCCATGAAAAGATTTCAAAGACTTTCATTTCTTTCATTAGCTTCAACTTTCATCATATATATATATATATATATATATACACACATACATTCATATACACAAGGAGGACATTTATGCTCTGAATAATTATTCATAAGAAACTGCGTCTACTTTGTATTAGAAAGGGAGGCGGAAAATAATTTCAAACAATCTCTGAAGCTATGGAAATATCTTATATTCATTCATCCATTTGACAACTTAATTATCGTTAATGCTTCCCAGTATCAATCAATGTACCGTTAATTTGGGTGAATCGCTATCATTGTAGATCTAATTGAATCTAACACTGTAAGTGATTTTCTGGAAGATTGAAGTAATTCTTCCGCGACTGCATCAAATGATAATGAAGTTTGCACAACTAAACATGCATTTATACCATCGCTTCTTTTGCTATATTTACCAACAAAATCAAGTTATATATATATATATATATATATATATAAGGATGGATGGATGAATAAAATATAGTATCTAGACGAATAAAATATTGAAGAAAATGAAAACTTCTGAATGACTCCTCTCTTCGCTTACTTATTCTTGCTAATCGTTTTTTTTAAAGAAAAGTATTAAATTTAGAATTTTAAAATTTTTGAATGATTATAACTGCAGATTCGAAAGTTAAAATAGCGTCAAATATGCAATGATCAGTTAGTATCAATATTAACTAAAAGAATTAAATTATACTTAGAACATAATATATCTGCATAAACATCCAAATCTTTCTCTATACATTAACATCCAAGTCTTTCTCTATACAATACTTTGATAAAGATATTCCTATTACTCTCTTTTATCACTTCTATCATATTACAATTCCTATTGCAAAATATTGCTATAGTCCACTTAAAGCAATTGATTTATTTGAAAGAGAGAGGGAGAGAGAGAGAAAAGATGAAGAAGAAATGGAAAAGGTGTAATAGCTATTTTAAAACCTTTTTCTCAGGTTAGCTTTATTTTACTTGAACCATAACTATTCTATCATTTTTCATAGATGTAATCTCCTGTTTTAATTTATTTTCAAAACGTAGAAATTTTATAAAATAAAAATCAAATTTAAATGTAAATGATATAGTTATTACTTATGGAATAGCACTAATTAAATAATATAGATAAGGTAGGGCAATTTTATTGATTAAAAAATACCTTAACATTATAAATTGCATATTTATTATTTACTTATTATATTTCTTTACTTCATTTATTACAGTCGTTATCAGTTAATAATAATGAAAAAAAAACTTACTGGAATCAAGCTGTTCTAATTCATCGTCATCTGATTCGGTTCCCGAGTCAATCATCACCAATGCAGTATTGTCCTGAATGTTTCAATTATTGGCTAATGCCGTTTAATAAATGATTGGAATGGTGATGTGTAATCCATATATGGTTAAATCGAAAGGGAAATTTGGGTTAATATTCCCGTACCTGGATACGAAGATAAATTCTCATCGTGAGAATTTAGTGCGATAACACAAATGAACTCGGAAACATTGAGGAAAGCCCAAGTCAGAGTTCTCTTTTCTGGTTTAGGAACGAACTCCCTAGAATCGGTTCATCCAGAGATAAGGACGTTATTTCCGTAAAGCGCCACGATTCCTGTGATGTCTCGTACGCTTTGTTCGATCCGTAGTTCAGGTTAATTAGGCAAAAAATATTTAATAAAAAAAATATAACGAAAGAAAGAAAGAAAAAAAACCTCATAAAGTGCACTTATTCGAGCACTTCGACGATTTGCTTGTTGAGGTAGCGGTGCAACTATCGCTCCAGTTGGCGCTGTTGTCGTTGTTCTGTTACTTCCAGAATTAGCATTATTAGAAGCAGATTCAAATAAACTAGTATTACTTGTTATTTCTTCTTGTAGTGAATGTTTCTTAAATTTGTTCACTAATTTGCCGAGCATTTCCGCTCTTTTATTTTTACCCTGCTTCGTATTCAATTTTTCACAGTAGTCGAAAATTTTCAGATTTCAATAATTTCACCAATTGAAGAGAATAGCGTCGAAGAAGATAATGATGCTTTACGGATTTTACTCTGTTGCTAGTGAAACCCGTATGAAGAAAGTATCGACGTAAGTAACCATACACATGCACGTCTGCTACCAAAAGAGTAATCGATGTCTAGAATTTGCAAATAATTTTTAATTATCCTTTCAATAAAATTAAGCAATAACAAAATTCACGTGAAACACGTTCAATAACGCATGTATTAATATCAATACCAATTAAGGAGTGTAAAATTAATTGTGGAGAATACTACAGAAAGCATTGACGATTTTTCATGCTTCTCAAATTTACTCTACTCTTCGTAAAATTCACGTAAATTTTCCGCGAACAAACAAACCTATATATATATATATATATATATATATATGATGCTTGGAAAACAGACACCATGTTTATATCACTTTTATGATCTTAAAAATCTCAAATATGAAGAAAACGAAATATTATACTATAATTATGATATCAATGTCAAATATTCGAAATATATGAAAAAATAATTTAATACGTAAATTGATTCTCTCTCATCATTCATTTACGTACAATTTCAATTTCGTTTTATTTTTCTCTCCTCATTTTATTTCATTATTTTGATAAAGAGGGAGACTCCTTTAGACTAAACTATATATACTAACTATATTGTATTACTATAAATTATGATATGAATCAATTAAAGATAAGAAAAAGAAATTGATAAGAAATAATGATGATATAATTGTTGGAAGCAATCCAACAAATGGTTTAAAAAAAAAATTTAAATTTTTCTTTTTAAAAAAAAACCGAATTCCTACAACATCTGCCACCACTAATGAGATAATTGTTCTATGCCCTTTTCATGTCATACAAAATGAACAAACCGATTCATTTCACTATAATTAAAATCAACGAAAAAAAAGAGACCTAAAAAGTAGTGAAAAGTAAAAGGAAAGAATGGATCACATTGTTTTGAAATTGAATCCATTTCCTCGCCGAAAAAACAAAGAACTATTTGTTTGCTAAATAAATTTTAAAGAAGACACAAAAGATTCACATATATATATATATTTGTATATGTATATATCTGCCATTTTTAACCATCGTTAAGGTTAATGAATGCATTTGTCGCTTTCCTTTTTCTCTCTCTCTCTTTCTCTTTTTTAATGACTAATTAACAAAAATAAAAGAAAGCGAAAGAAAAGATTAATGAAAACGAAAGGAGCTTTACATTAATGCCTAACAATAATTTATTGTGGTCTGTTGTAATATTTGGCTGAAAGAGAAAAACCGATGAGATGATAGGAGATTTTTAAACTTATTCAACTGCTAATTTATACCATCTATATTGTATGGATAAGGATAAAAATTTATACCTAAATGATTAACTGAAAGAAACTTATACCTAAATATTAATTGAAAAAAACATAATGAACTTTATCTTACCTTTTGTTTAAAATTAAATACTAAAATACTAAAATTCGATTATTTAGTAGAATAGCTCGCCATCCAATGTATTCAATTCATTTTAGTGCTTCAAAAATTTAAGCGATCATGTAAAAATTTTTTTTCTGTGAAAAAACAAAAAAGACAAATTAGTTAAATTAGTGTTTATTCCTACTTTCAATAATATTGAACAAATTCTTTGGCAACTTTTTTGAAATTTAAAATTTGAAAAAATAAACTTTTTTCCTTTGATTGTTCTTTCACTATTCAACTAAATACAATTTTATTCCAATATACTACCTACCTACCTACCTGCCTACCTACCTATCAAAAGCTATTCCACTTCGATCGCAAATTAGATGTATCCGAGTAAGATCGATAAAATGGTTGAATTAATGTTTATTTTAAGTATTACTTTATGTTCTTCCGTTATTCATTCTCAAAATGTACTAATTTTCGACATTTATACTTTCGATTTTCATGTAGAAAAAATGAAGGAAGGAAAAACAAAAATGTTGAAATGGTTCTTTTGCCTTTTCCAATTCCGTTCTTTTCGTTATTTGATTTATTCACGCATAAATAAGACCACAAATATTTTGTTATATTATGATGCAAATTCCACGGAAAAAATATTTTCTAATTTAACACTTTTTTTTTAAAAGAAGAAAGCAATGGTTAATCAGAAAATTTAGAATGAAACAAAGGATAAAACTATTTTGCAAAAGTAAAGCTTTTCGCGTCTTGCAACATAACTAACTATAGGAAATGATTTTATAAAAATATTATTTTATAATGATGTATTATTGCATTAGTGAAACTAACATATTGCTTCATGCAATGCATGTTATGCATGAGACATATGCGACAAATTGAAAATGCATGCATGCATTTAGGCATATTTTATAAAATATGCATCATCATCATCATCATCATCATCACGTAGATTGTAAAAAAGGAAAAGCAATAATTGAGGAAATACATTTTATTGATAATAGGGTTTTGATGAAAAAGGAATTGTGAAGTTATATTTGTCTTCTCTTTTATAATTAATGAACTTAAATGAAAATTTTAAGTTTTGTATCAAAGAAATAAATGAAATATCATTTGAAGATTAAATAAATGAAATTATGGTTAATTTCTTAATTGAAACATTTCGATTAATATCATCTGAGAAAAGAATGATGAGAAGAAACGAAGAGAAAGAAAGAGGGGGAGAAAAAGAAATAGAAATGAAGAATAAATTTTCTTCACCTACCTACCTACCTATAAATCATTATTTCTAAACAAAGAAGTACTATTTGAAAATGATGAGGTGATTGCAACATAAACTTTTAGTTGGTGATATAACTGTACCATTGATTTTTCTCTCAGTGATAAACATCAAACTATTTTGTTTAATCCATTCGCTGATTAGACTTTCGATAATATAAGATTAAACAATGCTCAAATTGCCATCATCATGATGAAATTGATAGAAGAAGAAATAAATAAAATGCAAAATAGTCGACAATTTGCTCTCTTCACTGATTTCATAGCGTAAACAAAAGATAATTTGAAAAGAAATAAAATTTCATCAACAACAATCACTAACCGTATTTTACAGATTAAAAAAGAAATACGATAAATTGAAATATTCAAAAACCGATACATATCAAACCCCCCCCCCGCCCCCGCCCCTTATATATATACATATACCAAATCCTCTCTCTCTCTCTCACTGTCAGAATCGTATAATTCACTTTCTTAATATTTAAACCTTAAACTAATCGGGAATGTATATTTGAATATCTTTCATTTTTACAGCTGATTTTAGAGCATAGACTAATAATGGCTGATATCATGCTACTAAACAAATGAAGAAACAATTAAAGCTAAAACATAGAGTCTCTCATTTGACGAATAATTCAATCTCGGCAATTGCTAAAGAAAATGAGAAAAAACTATTTTCTTCAATCTTATGTCACTTATGTATGGATACATTATACATATATATATATTATATATTATACATATATATTATATATATATATATACGTATACAATGTATCTGCATGTGTAGTTCGTTAAATAACAAAATTTTGGTGAGCAACTATTCACAAACCTTTTATCAATGCATTTATATATAATATATGTTCACATACACATATACATCATATACCACTCACACACATACACCGATACATAAAGTTAAAAGCGAACACTTTTTAGTGTCGAATATATTTAAAGTGTTTAAAATGCAAGATGTTTATTAGGAAGTTTAAAAGAGATCAAAAATAGTCTCATAATATATCAGTTGATAAAGAGGAATATCAACTGATAAATTGAAAATTTTGCACATGATAAAAGGATTAGTGATAAAGAGGGAAAAAAAAGCAATTCGAAATGTTAGTATTATCAAAATATTTAATTGAGCATCAATTTGATAAAGCCTTGTTAGGGTAGTTACAAATTTCAATAAGTGCCTACTTCTCGATAAATGCTTTGTGACTTAACAAGTCTAGCTTTTCGGTGACGTCATTGAAATTTTGCTAAGGCAATTTACACATATAATCCTCAACGTTATCATATTGATTTTTTAAATGTTTCAAAAATTTCATTAACAGTTGCTAGTTAGTGACAAAATAAATTTTTAGATGAAAAAAAAATTTTGACAATCAATATTTCGATTATAAGAAAAGCCTTTCTACCAATTACTTCGATTATAAGAGAAAAGCCTTTCTACCAATTACTTCGATTATAAGAGAAAAGCCTTTTATAACAAAGTATGTTTGTTATAGTTTTCAGATTAAGTATGTTTTTTTTTGCATAATACGATATTTATTTTAATCTCTCTCTCTCTTTCTCTCTCTCTCTCTCTCTCTCTCTCTCTCTCTCTAAACCTATCTATATCATCTTCTATCAATGAAATTTAGCACTTTTTTTCGTAATTAATTTTTTTGCAAAATTATACCATATATTAAAAAAATACGATGAAAATTTTTGAATTTAAATTTAAGATTTTTGAAAGATAAACAATAAATAAATAAATATTGACAAATATTTTTCGTTGAAGCACAAATTAACAATAACTAATGATTTTTCTTGTTGCCAGAAATAACAAACGATAGTTTTGCCAGAAACAAAAATAAGTATACGAAGTGACAGACAGATATTCTTTACGCCTTCTATCAACGAATGTTACTTATTTTCCATTTCACAATGCAAACCCCATATTTTAAATTCACTTTTCTCCCTTATTTCTTCTAGTAGAATAGAACTATTAAAAGAAAAAATACTAAAATGTCTAATGTTAATTTATTTTTCAATTTTACTATCAAATTTATATCGTTGGCAAAATTTAAAAAAATTAATAAATAAGAGGTTATATCAATGATAACAGTCGTGTTAACAATTTTTCGTTGTTTTTATTGATAATGTTTCGCATTGAAAAAATTGCGGATCATGAAAAATATGAATGAACCATAAGAAGTGTGCGTAATTT